AAATAGATATTTTCTTAAGTATCATTTATGTTTGTTTCACGTGCTGTATGTATTTTGAGACATTTGATTACTGCTGACGCTTTCAACGTTTCTACACGTGTGTGTTATAAAATTGCATACTTAAATAAAAAAAAAAAAAAACTTTCGACGCTTGAGAGACGATTAAAATACTAGAGATGTGTCAGAAATATATCTCGTTTTCGCGCAAATACTGAATTAATCATGAGTTTTTGAGACGATCGTAAAGCGAGAAATTTTCAAAATTCGAGGTTGAAAAATTCGCTTCTTTTTTATTCGAGTTCTTTGGCTGCGACTAATGTCACGCGCGAGAGAGGCCCAATGCCAAGATCGAGCGGGACGATACTCTCCGGGTTGAGTTCCTCTAACGGGAGATCGCGGGTCGGAAACATAAACGTCGGGATGCGAATTGAACGGGCGCGCGCAAGGTGATGTGTCCTCTCCTCTTCTTGTAACCTACATTCAGCCTCGCGATCTCCCGGTACGTCGACCGTCGGACATCTGAAAGTATAATAACACTCGCCGGGTACGGCGTTAGCCGCATTAACATACACCGCCGTCTAATAAGCAACGCAAATCGCGAGAGCAGATCAGAATGCGATGCCCTTGCGCGTTCGCGCGCGCGATTTTTCTTTTTTTTTTTTTTTCTCTCTTCGCGCGCCTTCCAACGCGGTCCCGCCCTCCCCCTCTCGCGTTTCGATAATTACGTGTTGCGTAACGCGCGACGGTCCCCTGCGCGCATCAGCGACGCGTTCAAGGTCTGGCTCTTTCGTGGAAAGTCCGCGGAGCGAAACGGCCTGGGAAAATTAGCCGATACGAAGCCCGTGGAAGTGAGGGGAGGTAGAGGGGGTGGGACGAGCTCCCTCCTCTCTCTTTCGCAAGAAACCGGTATATCTTTATCCCCCCGATATCGTTATGATATCGCCGAATCGCCCGATTAAATCGCGCGCTACAAATTTCGCAAGACGCGCGCTCAAGAGAGTTTCGCTAAAGAGAGCACACGATCTGTAGTATATTTCTTGCTCAAGAATAAAGGATCGTAATAAAATACACGTTTCGCGTTTTTCGTACTTTATTATTGGCTGACACGTTGCACAAATGCAGATTATTATTCCTCGAACGAGAGACCGATATTCCGCCTTCGGGACGGGAAAAAGAAAAAAAAAAGACTCCGTGTTCTCTTAAAAAGAAACCGCAGGGTAATAAACTCGAACGGTAGTCGCGGTAGGGTGCTAATAAAAAAAACCGTCCGTGAACTATTTTTTCCGATCTATCGTGAGATACACACGTGGCGGTCAGATATCTGTTTCTAACGTCGTTACTTGCGTGGCGCGGAACATATGGCTGAGCCACACACACGCACACACACACACAAAACTTTTTCGAATATATGACCGTTTTGGAGAGAGGAAAAGAAGGAGGGGGGGGGGGGTGAAGGGAAACCCCAATCACCTCATCGCATCCCTCGAAACCATACTTTCGACACGATTCGCTCGCGAGCAACGGTCACGCTCGATTTGGTGGTTTCGTGCGATTTTCACGGGTCGCAGGTAAAAGCCGGTCGGCGAGGATAATGATTTATCGGGCCCTGCCGGTGATGGTGTCGGCGATGGGGAGCCCCCGGGGGGTTCGGCAACGACTTCACCTCCGCTTCGACGGCTCGGGCTTCTTCTTTTTTTTCTTTTTTCTTTTTTCAGACTTCGTATTCGGGATATGGCGCATGTGTTGCGGCCTCTCGAGAGAATCCATTACGCCGATCGCGCCGTCCGCTCGGCGATATCTCTCATTTTTGCGGCGTGTAAGCTCGTCAGAAACGATCGTCGGAGCCGAAGTCTAGATTGTTACACGACGTTGCGCGCCCGATATTAATTTTCCTAACCGGATATGTTATATATAAATCGGTTCTCGCGCGCGAAGTCGCGCGGCCGAACTTCAGCCGAATGACGGGACGTGTAACGTCGTCGTCGTTGAGCCGAAATGATGATCATTCTCTGACGATCGGTACACCGCCGCTCAGCCGATATTCAGTTATATTCGGCCATTTAATCAATTAGAGATTATCATCTGGATATTTATACGGTCAATTAGGGTAATTGTGACATCGCGAGGTAAACGAAAGAGCGCCGCGATATTTTTTTTTTCTTTTTTTTTTGTCCCCGATCGACGCGCGAAATGAATAGTCATCAGGTCTTATTGATCTTACGATGAGCGTCAATTTTATCGTCGAACGATATCCGTGTTGCTAAATTGGAGATGACGTAAAAAATAAATGTAATATTCATGAAGCTTCAACGCACGCCTGTTCGTACACGCTTTAAAGGTTGTACAATTACGTATGTAGTTGTGTGTGTGTAATATATGTATATAGTTGTACGTATATAATTATATAAACCAACACACGGTTGTGAAAACAACACGGAGATCGGGAAGGTTCGATAAATCTTTGAAAAGACAAAACGCGATTCAAACTTTCGATCTCACTCTCTCTCTCTTGTTATTTTCTGCGTCGTAAAGTTTTCTCTTCAAATCTGTGTTTTTTTTCTCCCTCTGCTTCTCGTCGCTTCTCAACATTTTTAAAGAGTCACTTCAGTTTCAACAGGGAATATCGTTCTTCGCGCCAGATGCGCCTATTACCAAAGAGAGTCTGCGTTTTATAGGCAAGCGTTGTCCGCGACGGGAAGTGTCTGGGTCGACCGTGAAACCAACCGAGTCGGCGTGCTGAGTTATTCGCGGCGCGATCCATTTGAAACTTTCTCACGTTTTGCGCTTCACAAATGACAATTCCGTGTTTCACGGCCGCGCGACTAGGAAGCGACGAGGTGATTTACAAGAGCGACTCGTCGTGCGTTTGTGCGTCAGCGCCGACGACGACGACGACGACGACAACGACGACGACGACGACGACGACGACGATGACAATCCTCGGGGTCCTTGTGTATCATTTACACACACGACTTTGCTCTTTTCCTTTCTCGCGCGATTCGCGACTCAGGGCTGAGAGTTTACCGGTAACGACCGAAAAGGACAATCGCGCGCGGATCTCTTCCTCTTCCTTTCTCAGCGATAACGCACGTCCGCGAACCGCGTTTGATCTATCGCGGATCGCTATCTTCCGCAGAGGAACGATCACGATCGCGGAAGAGCGGCGCGCACCTTTGCCTCGATCGATGAATCGAATGAGGGACGCGATTGTCATTTCGCATGTTGATCGCGATCGCGATTATCGGTGTTTTTCAATCGAACGTTCCGAGAAAAATAATAGTTGCGCAGAAAATTGGAAGTGCCTTATTTTATATATATATATATATATATATATATGTACAAAGTAATTTATTGTTCGAGTAATTTATTATTCCATTTATCAGTTAAAAATGTAAATTTAATGGTGGTGGACTTTAATTCTCTTTCTGTTCCTATCTGTGTGATTTTCCGCTTCAACTCGAACGATTACATCAAACGAGATGAAAAAAAAATAGAGACCTCGTTGGATGCCACCTAACATCTAACCGATACTAAATATTAATGCTTCTTTTATCCGACGAGTAGTATCGAGAATGAAACCAAATTGGCTCGATGCTTCTCGCGCACGAGTGTCGGTCTCGTCTGACGTAAGAGAACTTTCGGCGCACGTCCTTTCTTAAGGTCGTATCGCGCTACATCATTTAATTAATCACATTGTAAACGAAATCATTGCATATGCGCGGCGAGCAAAGATCGAGATCGGAATTTTGTGTTTTGAATTCGATCTTGCGATCAGGTCGCAATTCGGCCGATAGTTTTCGATGGGATTAGCGTGATACGGTTTTTTTTTACGCGTGCGGTTTGTCACGCAGAGTTGGCGAGAAAAGCATGTGCGCGCATGTGTGGTATGCGTGTGTGATATCCACGACGCGAAATAACGACGCGCATGTAGCCCGGAGCCGTTGCACACGCACGCGATCGCTCCGTCAAGTTCGCGAAGGCCACCGCCGTACGTATACCGAGTTGTTGAGATGCGAGTCCGTCTCTCGGACTCCTTCGGCCTTGGTCACCCGCTTCCGTCAGCTGCGGGCTAATTGTGAATAACGTGTCGATACGCAGGCAGACACGCACGCACGCACGCACGCACGCACGAACGCACGCACGCACGCACGCACGCACGCACGCCGTGCATGTGTACGCATGTATATACAACGCGCGCGCACGCACATGGCCGAGGAAACCAGAACCCCCTCGATTCCGTGACCAAGACGACGACAACGACGACGGCGGCGAGTCTTTTCCGTGTCGCGCCCGCTTCTTTGTAGCATAAACGTCGGAAATTACGCCGAAACGAGAGCGGTCGCTTTATTACGGGTGTCGTGTCTCTCCTCGCCTCGCCTCGCGTTTTGTACGTCCGCGTCTTTTTCGCGTGCATGCGAAGGAGCGACGCGCATTGGGAAACAAAAAAAAAAAAAAAAAAAAAGAAGAAGAAAAAAGAAAGAAGGAAAGTAGGGAGGAAGAAAAATACACGTCGACCCGCATTTTGTCGCATCCCACATTTTCAACGCGATTATTTGATTCCGACTCGGATATTCGTTTATTATAAGGCGCCGGTCAATTCGATACGATATGTAAGTTGAGAATCGTGTGGTCGGAACGTCGCGGATGAAATATATGTGATATCTCGATATGACTCATGGAAGTTTCTCTCTCTCTCTTTCTTTCTCTCGGCATAGCGATATGCTGAATTTCGGGGGAATTCTGATCTAGCTCGAGTTAAAATAGCTTCGGCATTAATATTTATTGCGGCACATCAGATGTCGGTCGCGAGATGTGTGTTTATCTTTACGGTTACGCGATATCGATTATTATCGATGTGTTGGAAAAATACTTTTGAAAATACACATCGACTCTTGGAAAGAGAGCGATTGCGTAACCGAGTCGCCTTTCGAAGAGGAAAATTTGTAAAAAAAAAAAAAAGAAGTAAATCGAAACGTGCGTTTCTTGTTTCTCTGTTGCAGACGAAGAAGAACACGCCGGGTCGCGTAAAGAGGCCGATGAACGCGTTCATGGTCTGGTCACAGTTGGAGCGCAGGAAGATATGCGAAGTGCAACCGGACATGCACAACGCCGAAATCAGCAAGAAATTGGGCGCAAGATGGAAACAACTGACGGAGGACGAGAGACAGCCTTTCAGAGACGAGGCCGAGCGACTTAGGCATCTCCACCAAAAGGAATACCCGTTCTACAAGTATCGGCCAAGGAAAAAGGCCACGAAGCCCGCCGAAGTGTCAAAGGCGAAGGAAAAGAAGAGAACGAGGAAATCGGCGTCGTTGTCGCTGTCGTCGCCAACGCCCTCGCCCGCGTCGGTATCGTCAGTGTCATCTCTGAACAGTCCGGCCTCGACAACCTCGTCGTCATCGTCGTCGTCGTCGTCATCATCAACATCTTTGCCCTCGTTGTCGCCCGCTACACCCGGTGCTAGTCATGCAAGAACGAAAAACGATAACAACAACAACAACACCCCTCAGCAAACGATGAAAAAACCGCTCAAGAGACTCCAAACTGGCGCGAAACCGATGTCCAGGCCGAACTCCAGGAACATCCGGCTGACATTGGATACTCTGGAGACACCGAGGCATTCATTACACTCTGACGTGGATTACACGCCTCCCATAGTATCCGCCAAGGTGCCAACCAGTCCGACCTGCGACACTCCGGATTCGCCGGAATCTGCTACCTTTTACGATGACAGCTACGGCCCGGAATGCGCCACGTCCAGCAATGCGATCTGCAACATCGCCACCAAGATCAAACAAGAACCGAAGTGCGAAGACAATAGTTTCGCTTCGAAGGATCTGCTGCTCCCGTCTCTGCTCCCACCAATGCGAACGAGCAACAGGGAGGAGTACTGCCGCATCAATTCCGGTGGTCGACAGACAACAGATTTCACGATCAAGGAGGAGGAGAAGACGACCTTTGACGTGAAACCACGTGGATACAACAATGTGTTGAGGACGTTGTCACAGTCCTTGATGATGAACACGACGCTGTTGGCGTCGCAATCGTCTACCGTGCCGTCCGCTCTCACAACGACGACAATGGGCACCACGGGTATCAGCCTCGAGGAGGCCCTTGACGATTCCCTCACCGGAATCGGCCACCCGGTCAAGTTGGAAGAGCTGATGAACAATCCCGAACTGTCTGACCTGACGTTGTCCGACATGCCGTCCGAACTCGAGGATAGTCTGGCCATCGAGGATAGCTTGGCAATCGACGTGAGCGATCTGGCGTTCAGCGCCAGCACGCCCCTACAGTTTACGCACGATCTCAGTGGCGACGGTATGGTGTCCGCGATCGGCGTGAACGAGGAGTGGCAGGCGCCCTGCTATTGAACGGGACGAGCGGAGACATCGTTGTTTTCATCTGCTGGTTTGTCGTATTGCAGCGGTCTCTCTCGCGCGGTTTGTCAACGCGCGCTCGTGTCGCAAGTTGTCGAAGGCAGCCGCGAAGCTAAAGGTAAAAGATTTTGTCCACGAGCATCTCGTACAAGCTCGACCCGATTCGGAGACTCCAACCGAAACAAGAATCGTCATCCGCTATCGCGTGTCTTCGTGTTTTGTACTGAGGATATTTCGCCTCCTCGAACCGGAGCTCGTCGCGGCTTTCGTTTCATTTTTGCGGTTGACGCAGGCCAGGTTTTTTTTTTTTATTTTTTTTTTTCTTCAAGAACGTCTCTCTTCACACGCGGAAACAGAAATATACGATTGTTTAAATTGACTGGTTTTCGACAGTTGCAATCTTTGTGAGTAGCGAGTCATCCGCGCATTCGCGTGAATGAAAAGAAAAAAAAAGCTCCTTCAAATATATAAAATTCTTGCCTCGTTAGTTCGCTGACTGCAAAATCCGATAGACGCTAAGTCAGCAAATCTCTCGTCAATTTCAGACCACCTGCCAATTGTGGATCTCCGTTTCTTCGCGAATGCGATTTTTTAATGATTGCGAAAGGCAAAGATTTGATATTTGATAGTGCTGAACTTTTCTAACGAACTAGTCCGCCAATATGAAATTTTTCGATATTTAAAGCGATTAGAGAGATATATTTATTGGCGCTTTTCGTAATTGTAAATGTCAGCACGGCAAGTCAATGGCAAAGTCTTCATCGATTGTTGAGATAAAGAAAATGAACGATACCCACGACGCGCGCCGCGTTTCGAAATCCAATTTTTTTGTATATGTATTGTAGTATATTTTGTATGAGAAGTTAAAATATAATATAGTTAAATATATATAACGGATAAGCACAGGTGGGCAGATCCGGGACGTGCGGATCGAAGGTGGATCGAGAAAAGAAAACGCGAAATTTTCATTTGCTTTCGAGATGCGCGAGTTTTGTTTCCCGCGCGACTCGCAACTGTCCACTGTTTTGTTGTATATATAGCGAATGTGTATTTAGTAAAAAAAAAAAAAAAAAAAAACCGTATAATATAGAGATTCGAGATACAATGTAAGTAAATACAATCTCTAGCAATGGTTTGATGTGAGACGTGCACATGTTGCAACGACGTCGACGTTCTTCCGAAACGTCGACAAAATTATTTAACACAATATACAATAAAACAAACAATTTATTTAAACTATTTTAAAAATTAGGAGATTGAAAAAAGATGTAATTTAAAAAAAAGAAAATAATTTATTCTTTATTATAAATTATTAGATCGCTTAAAATTATAAAAGTGTTTATACGCGTTAAAATGTAAAGCAAATACGTGGGAGTTTTGGGAGTTTTATTGAATTGAGACGATGATTGAAAGACACCGGCACAGGAAAATGAGAGCTCTTAATATATATATACATATATATATATATATATGTTTTATTTTTATTTTTACTTTCTATATTTCTTCTGATCGATAAAAAAAACATGTGAGAAGATAAGAAAGGGCGACGTGCAAAATGTAGAGCAACGAGAGTTGCTTCGCCTGATGATGAGTCCTGAGAAAAAGGAAGTCTGAAATGTGTGCGCTACTTACTGTCACAACAATGTGAACAATCGAAAACCTGAAATTTTGAATAGGAAGAACGTCGATCGATCGGTAAAATGTGCGCGTGTTGCGCCAATGAAGATATATAATATATTAAATATTGCTATAAATGATGTGTGTGGGAGAGTGTTGAGAAGTGAACAATGCGCGAGCTATCGCTACGTCGACGATGATCGCTTCGTCTCGTTTCACAGAGAAACGGCGAAAGCACGATCGGCAAGAACGATCATTAAGATATTCCCTCGAGAAAAAAAAACAAACAAACAAACAATACAACTCGTTTCATATCGATTTGGAACAGAGAAGCAAATAACGATTCGTACGCCCCCGATCGATTTAAATCAAAAATTTCATCGAATCATTTTTCGCTGTGTGAGTTTTGCGACGACTTTTGACGCGTGATTTGATAGAATTGTTTGACGAGATGTTCTCGAGACATCTTCTAGAGAGTTTTTTCAAAATATGAGAAATAAATAAACAACAAACAAAAAAAAAGAGAATGTACGAAGGGCGTACGATCGTCAGTCTGAGGGCGATCGTCGGGAGGAAGGAAGCGCGTCGCTTCGATCGGAAACGGGAACAAGGACGGGAAGGAACATACGCACCAACACACACACACACATACACACACACATTTACATACACGCACGTACACACGACGACCGTTTCATCGATCGATCGTGCGCGCGATCGACGCCAGGATCCAGCGGTCAAGATCCGGCGACGATCGAGCGAGCGAGCCACGCTTGGTTGCACGCGCGGTTATCGATACATCAAACTCTTGATCTCATAGTGTCTTTTGTATTTACGTTTGCGTAGCGCTTAATTTTTCGACGATTGTTCGTAAGACGGTGATTATCGATAGTCGCACCGATACCAGCGATTTCACTACCAACTGTTTTCTTTTTTTTTTTTTTTTTTCTATCTTTAATAAGATTTTTTACGCTGTGTTTCCGATGCATAGCTGATCTTATGTTTATTATTATTATTATTATTATTATTATTATTATTATTATTAATCGTATTAACATTGTTATCTATGATTATTATTATTATTATTATTATTATTATTATTATTATTATTATTTTAGTGTAATTACGATTATTATCATTACTTATTAGCTTTATTTTTGTGGGAGAAAATAGGTTGAGCTCAAATTTTCTGAGAGACCTGCAGCTACGTGCTGTTACGACGCGTCAGCAGGTAAAATGAATCCCACTTTGATATCTTATTCTTCTTATTATTATGGATATTATTATTATTACTATATTATAACGATTCTTTTACCATTTTTTTTTTTTTTATTACTTGTACTTGCTATGAATTGCGATTGGGCGAAAGAGGAAAGGACTCGGCGAACGCCTCCTTAATCGGCGCGAAAAACAAATTCTTGCGGATCGATCGATTCTTGAAACTTTCGCAAAGAAGAAATGAAAAATAAAAAAATAAAAAAATAAAAAAAATAATAAAAATTTCGATCAGAAAAAAAGAGACGAGTTGCTCGGCGTAAATTCACGCGAGTTCTGTTTGTCTTTGTACTTTTCTTCTCTTCTGTCACCAACGTGGAGGTGAGCGCCGTCACGCTGCGCCAATTAATGCGCGTCGCAATCAACGCTTTAGTTTATCTTTTTTTTTTGTTTTTTTGTTTTGATTTTTCCGTCGAGAACGAAGAGGGCTCGTCGTTTTCGGCGAAGGGCGAAAACGATGTGTTTAGGAAGAGAAGGGAAAAAGAGACAGAGAAGAAAAAGAAGAAAAAGAGAAGGGGATTGGGAAGGGAAGCGAGGGGAAGGAAGGGAAAAGGGGGACCTAAAAGAAACCGGTTGAAACTCTGAGAGAAAAAAAAGAGAATAAGATACAAAGGAAACACAGTGCCTACCACTCCGGTCTGGAAACTCTCGTACAAAAATCATATACAGGGCCAAGAGGAACAAAGTATAATGTTAGTGTTGATAGCTATTTACACGAAAAAAAAAAAAAATGCGCAATAAGAATTATTACAATGCGATTGCTCCGAAATTCTCGTCTCCGTATATTTATAGGATCACACGAATCGCGAGAAGCGTCCGAAGGATTATCGCACGATTGTTACGCGTTGCGGGAAACGAGATCGAAGTCGGTAAAAAAAAAAAAACTCACGGATACAAAGGGAGAGGAAAGAAGAATTGAAAAAACAAACCGTTGTGCGTTGTAAGAGAATAAAAATGTGAATGATCTTTTTCACGAGCAACAGGCTGTGTCGATTCTAAAGTTGTTACGAAAACGCTTCTTCGCTACGAACAAACAGAGCGCTTACATATCAGGCCGCGTAATGCCACACACGTCTCGCGAGCGTGGCGAACCATCGCCAACGCATTATCGCGACGAGAACTGCCAGAGTAATATCACACGCGCGAAAAATATGTACATAATTAAATCTCACACCCGATCGTTTCTCATTGTATCACAATCACATCGAATTGCAGCTTGGAATGATTTTTTAATGAGGCAACGAATAAAAAGGAAAAAAAATATCGATTGTTAAATTGCAACACCCACACAATTATCGAGATTTAAAATTGCTCTAATTCAATAACACAGGCCTGCGAAATTTGAATTGAAATTAGTTTAAGAACATATATATATATAATAATTGTATATATATATACAATTGTGTATATATATATATATATTGTGTGTATATATATATATATATACACAAAAAAGGGTTCATTTTCATTAAAACAAAAATCTTCACAAGCCTGTGTAATCCAAATTAAAGATAGAAGCTTTGGACTCGCGTGTGAAGGCGGTACAGAGAGCGAAATACGAATTCAAGATATACCGTAAATGACTCGATGAATTTGCAGCCAAGTGCACGCGACTACGAAGGATCTCTCGTCGAGTAAACTAGAGGGTGGAAGAGGTTTGAGGGAAAGAGAGCACGGGAAAAACGGGAGAAACTCCGGAGAATCGGCCAAAATGAACAGAGTTAGGTTTTTAACGTTTTTTTGATCCGCCTTCGCGACTCTGTGACTTTGTGAAAGCCATTGTTCGCGCGAATGGAGATCGACGATAAGTACGCAACGCGCATCGCCACGTATGTACGTTAGCTGGGTCACAGTTCGTGAGAGGCTCGACCTCTCTCTCTCTCTTTCTCTCTCTCTCTCTTTCTCTCTCTCTCTCTCTTGACTTACGATTATGGCGGGTGCGTGTTCGGACTTGTGGGTTGTTTTTTATTTTGTTTTTGTTTTTATTTTATGAACTCCAAAATTGAAATATTCCAAATATAGATACGCGATAAAATTAAAATGCAATAAGAATTATGTCTAATTAAATTGATTTGACAAAATGAAACACCGCAATCTCGGGATGTTGTGCATTTGAGAAGATAAAAAAGCGAAGACCGTCGAATGATTTATGAGTTATGGAAATTGAAGAAAAAAACGAACGACGAAAAAGAATAATAGCTGCCGCGGTACGTCGTTTGTCGCTGAAGATTTTTGTTTCTGATACAAATTCATATTTGCATACGTATCTCCGACGGGAAAAAATTGTTCGGCTAATGTGAGAAACCGGCTCGCATACATGTTTGATCGTTTTCGTCTGTCCGAACTTGCGTCAAGTTTTTACGAGCGTTCGCAAATTAATGGCTGGCGCTATATAGATTATTCGAATGAGGCTCCTTTTCGTCCAAACATGCATTCGTTATTTACGGTCGTATAATTTTGCGCGCGCGTAGTGGATGATGAGAGAGCGAGCGAGCGAGCGGATGGAGAAGCGTGTTCGCTCGGCGGACAGGAGCGGGAATTTCGCATGCGAGTGGGTACAACAGCGAGATAAACCCAAGTCGATGGAGAGAGATATATAAGCGACCAAAAGAGTAAACAAAAAAAAACACAAAAAAAAAAAAAAATAAAAAGAGAGGAAGTTAACGAACGAGTTACAAAGTATATGGAATGAGATACGTAGTTATTGTGTATGTTAAAAACAAAAAAAAACAAAAAACAAAGAAAAAAACAAGTCGCGGCGCGCCGCGAAGAATGCAAGACGGACGCGTGTTTCGCTTTCTCGAGTAGATATATGCGGGATGTTAAATCGCGAGAGCGTTTCTCGAGCTCCCGTCTCACGCCGAAAGCGCACACCCATCATCCGCGAGAGGCGGAAACGCGAGAAATTCTGATTCAGTGCTTCCATCCAAATTGTTTCTTGCAACTTTCTCTTCGAGCGCGAACTGCCGCTAGTTTGCACTTTATTTATAAAGGTGCTTTGAAAAATTTATGACTTTCTTCAGTCAATTCTAGCAAATTGATTCATCTACCTCGCGCGCGTAACTTGTACTCTCCACGTGTATTTTTATGAGATACGCCAATTATCGTCGTCGAAAATGAACGATTGACTTTTGACTCAGCGAGAGTCCCCTTGCGCTCGCGAATCTTCTTGCCTTCTTCGCGTCG